CAGCGAGGCCTGGCGTGCTGCGATTCATGGGGTCGCAAAGAGTCGGACACGACTGAGCGACTGAACTGAACAGTTGGGAAGGACCTTTTTGATCACCTGGTCTAGCCACCTGTTGATTCTTAGACTCTCTGATAGTCTACCCAAAGGATGAGTTAGTCTTGTTTGATACCTCTTATAATAAGAAAGGGACTTATAACCCCAAAGGAGTACTTATCCCAATTTTTACACAACAGCATCTGGGATGTTTGGAGTAAATAATTTTTCTAAAGCAGGTAACTTTAGGATTTTTCATTTGTAAGACTAATTGGTAAATGCCAGTGAATTTTTGTTATTATTTTATTCTGTCCAAGGCAGAGAAGTATTTTCTAAGTTGTATTAGTGTTTTGGTTTTGAAACACAGTTTATGTCAAAATTTGCATATGTGATATTCAAGTCTAATTGAAATATCTCATTGTTTTTATACTTTTATACAAATAGTTAAAAAATTCATATGTATGTCTTATTTGGTGACCTGGAACTAGATGAAATGTAGGTGAAATACCATCTTAACTACTGGTATTATCTTGCTTTTGTGAAGCATGAAACAGTTCAGTTTATTGACGGATTGTATGTCCCTGGGGAGAAATGAATTTTCAGTGTGTTTTATTGTGCCTATTCAAAGAGTTCACTATTAAAATAAATAATGCTTTAATGAGAAAAGAGATCGCCTGATGACCTCACTGTGGGAATGGGAGAAGGCACTCTGGCTGCGGTCCCATCACAGCACCTGACTGGCCTTGAGGACCACGAGGGGCACTTTACCTCTCTGTGCCAGAATGTCCTCAGACGCAAAACAGGTGAAAAAAACTGTCTTTTACCAGGGTAGAGTGAGAAACAGTATTTGCCTCATGCTTTGAAACTTAGGTAACTGTTGATATAAAAATAATCACACAGTATATACATATTTATTGAGATGGCTCCTTATTGGGCCGGAGAATGCAAAGAGACTGGAATGGCTGGAGGCCCTGTGCTAGCCTGTAGAGGCAGGCCCCTTCGTGTATCAGGGAAGCAGGGTATTTTCTTCAGATCGCCTCCGCCACCATAGTTCTTTGGAGGAGGAGAAGCCAGGTGTGTTGGGGCGTCAGTCTTCTTCAGGTAGACACCTGCTGGCTATTAAGATGAGCTCCTTCTATAAATGGTACTTGAAGGCTAAGCTGGAGGTCTTCCTGCAAAGAAGTTTTATTTCTTCTGCATTCATAAATGCTCCCGAGCGGACTTTCTAATTATTACCTTCTTTCTAGCACATTAGCCTTTCTCTTAGATGAACAGACCAGATTAGAACTTACTTTGCCTCATTCACATACATAGTAACAAGATATATTTGGTTTTTTTGTTTTTGTCTTTTGAAGAGGAGGAAGATGTGACAGATGGCTGTCTGTTACTCTCCTCTCCTTTCAGTCTGGGAAGCAAGCAGGGGAACAGCAGAAGTGGACACATCACGGCTGCTAATCTGCGGACCCTCTCCTCTAGGCAAGGGTTCAGGGGCGAGGGACAAGGGATTAGATATGCCTAGCAGTTTAATACATTCATGCCACATTCCACGTGGCATTTTACAGAGAGGAGGCAGGATCAGACTTCTGTAAAAAATAGTTCCCTATGGTGGGTCAAGGAGGTCGTGTCTAAAATTTTAGCACCAGAGATCAATTCTGTTAGGAGGAGGTGTCACTGCAGAATATAGAACCAGAAGTGTGTACACTACTGATTAAAACAATAATAATCATAATAATTCACAGTTTACAAAGTACCTTTATGTCATATCTCTCACAGCAATGTTTGTGTGCAAGCGTATAAAGCTTGGTAGAACTGCTGTAACAAAGTACTGCAGACTGAGTCTTAAATAACAGAAATTTATTGTCTCACGGTTCTGGAAGGTTGAAGTACAGAATTGGGGTGTTAGCAGAGTTGATTCCTCCTGTTGGCTAGGAGAGAAGAATCTGTTTTAGGCCTTTCTCCTTGGCTTTTAGAGGCTTATCTTCATGTTCACATGACATTCTCCCTGTGTGCATGTCTCTGTATCTAGATTTCTCCTTTTTATTAGGACATCAGTTATATTGGAATAGGGCCCACCATAATGACCTCATTTTAACTTGATTACCTCAGTGAGTACCTTCTCTCCAAAGAAGTCACATTCTGGGGTGTACCAGAGATTAGGACTCCAACATATGAACTTGGGGAAGATATAACTCAACCCATAACTATCTATATATGTTTATATACAATATATGATAAAGTGTAGTTAAATATTTGATATATTTCTATTAAATTTTAAAGGCATTTTAATATGTGAATTTAAATAATCATTGAGCCATTATTGCATAACAGTTATAGAAAGTAGTGTCTTTGTCCTATCTTACTCGTGGCCTCATAAAGTCAACTAGTTTGTCCTGCACCAGAAGTAATAGAAGCACTTATTATCCTCCCCTCTATCCACCCATTTCTAGATTGTCAGGTGGGCTGTTCTATCCTGCTTTTCTTTGTTTCTCTTTTATGATAGAGGAATGGTACCCTATTTTAAAAATGCCTTTTAAAAAAACCAATGGAATCAAAATAAAACATGGAGTTTAGTAAATAATACTACGTCAGTATTGGTTCAATGGATGTTACAATGAACCAAGTATAGTTTTACCATATAATGCAAGAGTAAACGACAGAGGAAACTGGGAGGTATATGAGAACTCTCTACTATCTGTAAACCTAAATCTATTATAAAATACGTTTATTTAAATAATAAAAACTTTTAATAATATAAGGTAGTGTCTAGTATATGTTATACAGTTCATTAATGCTGTATTTAGAAATATTATATAATTGTGCTATTTTTTTATGCCATTACTTATATATGTCTTAATACACAAAGATTAGATGTGGCCTCTAGAGGACAGTGTTGTCATAGAAAGATTTTCACAATCTGTCCAAGTTGAAGATGGACTTACATATTTTTCTTCTTACTTTTTTAACTCCAAGGCCTTATTTGTTCATTATCCCTCTTTAAAAAAAATCAAGGAAAATATATACCTCATCTGCTATCCTGATTCATTGGAGTTTTGTTTTAACTTATTATTTTTGTGAAGTTTAGCTCTGTACAGATCCATCAGGCCATTTGGCTGTACACAGAATAGCGTTTCACCCGTGTTCAGAGCACCAAGGGTTTGTGGAAGTTGTCCAGGAGCATGACCATGGTGGGGTAGGCGTTATGAGGGATGTGTCTGTGACTTCTCACATGATGGAGAGTGTGCTATAGAGTTAACTCCCTTTGGAAAAACTATGAACCGTTTATGGATTGATGAGGATGCTCATAAAATAGGATTTTTGATTTTCCAAGGTCAAGACTGTTGGCTCTGCAGTTTGTTGAGGGTACGGGGAAAGGGAAACAAACTCTAGCTCTAGCTTCTGGAACAGATTTCTGGATTAATCAGAATAGAAACACAATTTAATTTAAAAATTATCCCTCTGGAGGCAGTCTCATGAGATTGGCATTTTAGTTTTAAGCAGTTTGTTGGGGCTGGGAGTTACAGAGTGCTACTCAAGCACATCTGAACCAGAGCCACCTGAACATTGATTTGCAAATTGCTTGCCTTGGATCTAGAGGCAGCTGAAAACAATTGCTTATTTATTGATGGGCTCAGAAATTCTGAAACACATCATTTTGTCATTAGATGGATGACATTTTTTTTACTGATAGTGGAGTCCAAGGCCTTACCTCATAGTAGGTGAGAATCTAGTATAAACATTAAAAAATAGTTTTCATTTGATGACTGTGTGTTCCACTTAGCAGCACCTATAGATTTCTTATCTTTTGCTCAAAGAATAAATCTTTTAAAATCCCCACTGTTGAATTGGGATGTGTGAGCGTTTTAATAGGATTTTTGAAAGGGAGTGGAAAATTTACAACTTCTCATAAATAGCCTGACATGAAATTGAAAATCAATAGCGTACTGTTCAGCCACACCATCAAAAGCTGTACCTTGTGAGCATGAGTCTTCCTCATTCTCATCTAACTGTTCTGGTGCCAAAATTGTTAGGTGTTGTCTTCTCTTAATTAGCAGTGGTGTAACAGTGTTCCACAGAGCATCTAGTTATTTAATGAATAGTACAGTCCTTGAGATTGATTGGTCCCCTAATCTGGTCTCTTAGCCAGTGTTCCTTATGTCAGGGGAAGTCCTTGTGCAAGTCAGAATCCTGGGTGTTGTCCTTGACCCTCTTTTTTCCCTTCATCCTTGCCTGTGACAGATACAGTACCAGGTTTTCTTGGTTTTATGTCTTAAGTGTTTCTTGAAAACACCTTCTTCTCTCTCCATGGCTACCACTCTAATCCCAGCCCTTGTCATATCTGCTTAGACTACCGCAGAAGCTGCCTCACCCACAACCAGTGTGATCTGTCAGACACACAGCTATGAGACCTTCAGTGATTTAGGGTAACAGTGTCTTGGATAACAACCAAAGTCATGTTCATGGATGGTAATACCCTGCATGGTATAGTCCCCATTTCTCTCTCCAGCCTCATCTGAAGACATTCTCCTCCTCGCTCCGTGTGCTTCAGCCTCCTGGCCTCCAGTGCAGCCCACAAGGTCTTAATGCCTGTAATTTCATCTACCAGGCCTTTCCCTGCTGTTTTTGCTTACCTTTTACTCATCCTTTATAATAATCAACTCAAGTGTGATTTCTTTATGAATGCATCTCTTGATAATTTGGCCAAGAACAGGTTCCTTTATTCTATGCTCTACTAGAGCCTTGCTCCTTTACTTCATTGTTTCTTACATAAGCTTATAACCAAGCACTTGGCTTTGTTGTTTTTTTGATGGATTTGTGTCTCCGCTACCAGAATATAAACGCTGTGAGCGGGGACCATGTCCAAGTATGCTCATTATCAAGTCCCCAGTACTTGGCACAGCGCTTGGAAAAAGTAGTTGCTCACTACATTTGCTGAATGAATAAGTGGCTGTTTTTTACTGACTGTTCAGGTAGAGGAAGAAGAACCGACTGGATACATTCGATTTGAAAAATTTCTACCAGTGATGACTGAAGTGCTCCTGGAAAGGAGGTAAGAAAGTAAATACACTTGTTGAGGTAATGATTAGAACTGCATTAATTTCAAAACACTTGGCCTTTTCACTTTGTATGTTATACTCAGCCAATGTTTATCACAGAATAGCTCCCTCCTAGTTTTTCTCTATACTTCTGAACTGCCAGTTGGTATGTTTCCAGAAATATCCACCACTTCAGTATTAATCTGATAAGCAAAGTGTAATTAAAGGGCAAATAAGCTGCAAAAAGCATAAATCAACAACATCCTTATTAGCTTCTGTTTGAATTATCAATGATAAATAAGAATTAACCCTAATTATTTTTCTAGACAAAGTGTAGCATTAGCTTACCATAGTTTGTTAACTATAGGAATTTTGTTTCCATAATGATGAATAAAAGCTAACAGATAACATTTAACTATACCTTGTGGGTATGGAGTACTTTCAACTTTATTATCTAGAAATCCAAAAAGATTTCAGTGAGGGATGAACTACTATCCTGTATGCTAGCAGCTTTATTAATACTTTTTTTTAATGTGAGCATTTGTTATTTGGAGATTGAGCTAAATACTGTGATGTTTACTTCTTTTATTGCATAATTAGATATAGACCAATTCCGGAAGATATCCTTCTTCGAGCTTTTGAGGTTTGTAAGCTATAAATTTTACACATATTTATATTTACATGAAAAAATTCATCATGTGGAATTTTCACCAAAAAACAGAGTATCTGTCTTTTCCTTCCCCCTAGGTATTAGATCCAGCTAAACGTGGATTTCTTACTAAGGGCGAACTGATAAAGTATATGACTGAAGAAGGTGAGAATGATTCATTACTTATAAATGAAAGTCGCTCAGTTGTGTCCTCCTCTTTGCGACCCCATGGACTGTAGCCCACCAGGCTTCTCTGTCCTTGGAATTCTCCAGGCAAGAATGCTGGCGTAGGTTGGCATTCCCTTCTCCAGGGGATCTTCCCCACCCAAGGATCAAACCCAGGTCTCCTGCACTGCAGGCGGGTTCTCACTGTGTGAGCCAGTAGGGAAGCCTTATTGCTTGTAACAGTGACTTACTAAGTGATCAATGATTTTAAAACAGCTGTGCAAAAGACTCTACCAGAAAATTACTAGAGCTAATCAACGAATACAGTCAAGTTGCAGGATATAAAATTAACACACAGAAATCTCTTGCATTCCTATACACTAACAATGAGAAAACAGAAAGAGAAATTAAGGAAACAATACCATTCACCATTGCAACAAAAAGAA